ACATGAACTCAAAACGGACAAAATCATACTAGTTGGATGGTTGGACACGGGCTTGAAAAAGATGTGGGAAGAAAGCCCTCAAGTTAAACTTGCGATAAGGGATGCCAAGATCTTGTGCAGAGTCCCGTAGAGGAGTTACGGCAGCACAAGAAGAGAGCCAAGTTTCGCTAAAAAGGCCACAAGAAGGTGGTGGAGGAGCCACGAGATTATGTGGTTCTTGGCTTGAAGGGGAAAATGTTGGATATCAATCCAAGTCCCAATCGGAATATTAGACAAGAAGTGTCTAATATATAAGTATTGTCCAACCTAACTAGTAAAAGGCCTTTTGGGAAGAAGCCCAATAACAAATCCGTGAGGGTTAAGATACATGAACCCAAAGCGGACAATATCATACTAGTTAGACGGTTGGACACGGGCTTGAAAAGCCCTTTTAATTGGTATGAGAGCCATGGTTCAAAGAAAGTGGACCTGGAGAAGTGGGTGTGGGCATTACACAAGATGTGGGAAGAAAGCCCTCAAGAAGATGGAGGAGTCACGAGTTATGTGGTCCTTGGCTTGAAGGGGAGAATGTTGGATATCAATCCAAGTTCCACCGGATATTAGACAAAGAAGTGTCTAATATATAAGTAGTGTCCAACCTAACTAGTATGAGGCCTTTTTAGGGTTAAGATACATGTACCCAAGACGGACAATATCATACTAGTTGGATGGTTGGACACATGCTTGAAAAAAGCCCTTTAATTGGTATCAGAACCTAGATCCAAAGAAGTGGACCTGTGAATGTTGGCATTAAATGTTGGATATCAATCCAAGTCCCACATCGAAATATTAAACAAGAAGTGTCTAATATATAAGTATTGTCCAACCTAACTAGTAAGAGGCCTTTTGGGAAGGAGCCCAATAACAAAAACCGTGAGGGTTAAGATACATGTACCCAAAGCGGACAATATCATACTAGTTGGATGGTTGGACACAGGCTTGAAAAAAGCCCTTTACTTTATGCCTTGGGAAAAAGAATCCTTCGGGAACGACCGGTTCCATTTTCCACAAAGGGCTAAGGAAATGCAAGCCGTAGTCCGAGGACATGGTAATCGAGGTCGTGGTAATAGGGGTGGTTGTGGCTAGTTAGTCATCCTCATTGATGTTTCTACTTAATCGAAGCGGAAGATTCGATTATTTTCTAGTTTCTAGTACTTGCAAACTTCGATTTGCATAAGGTGTATTATTTGAAAATTGCTCGGTAAGACTTTAACTCTTCTGTATCGTTTTTCAAATAAAATAGATAAAATATGGTTAAAAAAAAAGTTTATAGCTATGGTATGGTTTAAAATTTTAAATTTCAATCAGTGTCGTTGATGTTTTAATTTTTTTAAGAAATATTTTTATTACTGAGCTCTTCGATTTGTTATATTTTGTTGTTTACATTTTCTGATTACTCTTAATTTAGCTAGTAATTAGTCCTTCCTGTATCCCATTAAATACGTTGTTTTAGGTAAAACACATAAATAAATGAAACTATTTTTAAAATTAAAATATCACCTAATATAAATAAAATATAATAAAAAAATTCCTGAAAAAACTCCAAAATATATTTGGTCACACAATACCCAATAAAGTTTGCATGATATCTGAAAACTTCTTATATTTTGTGACAGTGGGAGTATTTCTTAATCTATTTAATTTTAAAACACTCAAACTTTTTAAGATGTAGCTTAAAATATCATCTAGAGTTAGTAAATACATTGGAGTTAGTATAATAAATTACCCAACCTATTAGAATATATCATATGACTAGATTAAGGCCCGCGTATACGCGGGTATATTTTAAGATTTTATAATAAAAGCATGGAAAATATTAAACAAAATTTGATCATTTTTAAACATAAAAAAATATTGAAAACCCGATAAAAAATATTTAAATAAAATAAGATTGGTAATACTTAATTTGTTTTACTATTCTTTTTATCCAATACAGAAAGACTTAACATGTCTAAATCTGATCAATTGATTAATTAATCAAACTTTTATTATTCCATTCAAGAGATTTTAATTGATGAAATATTTATTTCAATTTTTTTACCTAACAAAAATTGAAAATCAAACTATTTAAAATTAGAATATCAATTATAATTTTTTAATATTAGTTAATTGCTTGATAATTATTTTGTTAGTTTTTTATTTATATGTTTTCTTTCTCAATTTTCGGACCATTATAAATATTTTGTTATTTTTTTTCTAATGTATTCTTTCCTCAATTTTATTTTGCCCAACATTAAATAGTATTTATTATATTTTTCCTTTTCGAAATGGATTTTTTTTCCTTTCTTAATAGATGTAACAAAAGAATTTAAATTATTTGTTTCCTGTTTTTTTTATTACTTTTAATGGATATTATTTTTTCATTTTAATTATTTGTTATCTGTTTTTCTAATTTTTAGTTAGTCTTATACATATTAATTTTTTTTATTTTTATTTTCCATGACACATGTTACGATCTTCATACTTCGAGAATTTGTTATTTTTTTTCTAAAACAGATGTCACAATTTTGTCAGTTATAAAAATCCTATGTATCGCAAAACTTTCAAAAACATGATTTTTAAATTGGAGAAATATAATCAAAGGGATTTGATGAATTTGTTTTGATGAATTTATGATTGAGAAATCTTGACTCTCTTTTATAGGGTTCAAGTAACCTATTACATGCAGTTATAGGAAATTTAGTTTACATAACATATTCCATGTACAAATAGGATTTTATTTTATTACATTATTTTGATTTTATTATTTGTTTGGATAATATTAATTTGATGAATGGGAAACCTTTCTCTATTAGGATATGACAAATATATTTTTATTTCTTTTAACTGTAATGGATTAATTTTTTAAAAACAATTTCCTTTATCTAAATTTTTTATTATTATTGTTTTTTTTCTAAGACATGTGTCACGATCTTAACGGACGTAACATTAAAAGTGACACATGTCGCGATCTTATAAATTATAAAAATCATATGTGTCGCAACCACGTCGTGCGCATCCAACTTTATATAATAAAAAATTGATGAATGGGAAACCTTTTTCTGTTTGGATATAACAAATATTATTTTTTCCTTTTTGATATAATATATTAAATTAAATTTCGTTTTTTTTAATTAACATTTTTCTGGAATTCTTTTTTTTTTAAGTTCTCCTTTTTTCCTAAGACACATGTCACGATCTTAAAGACATAAATTTAAAAGTGACACATGTCGCGATCCTGAATTTTATAAAAATCCTACGTGTCGCAACCACGTCGCGCGCATCCAGCTTTATATAATAAGATCATCCAATATTATTATTTATCTATACTTTTAAATATTAATACATTATTCTCCTTTTTTTTTAACCTTGTTTGCAAACACTTTCTGTTCATTAATTAATTGACAATGTTGGTAAATAAGTGTATTTTGTATAATTTTTAAGAGTGATTTACAAGAACAATGACGTTTACCACTTTCTTTATGTTGGAGTAAGCTTGAAGAAAGCTTAAGCCACAAGGAAAGCTAATCTTATCAAGATATGGAATCCTAGAGATATTAGGATTAGATAGTTTTGAGTTCTTATAGGATTAGGAGTTGTGTGTGGCTATATAAGGAGATGTCAAGTTGTGACATAACTTATGAGTTTAGAGAGAGATTAAGAGAGCTTAAGTTTTGAGAGATTTTCTTAAGCTAATAATATAGAGAGATATTCTTTAAGGGCGAATTGCCAAATATAGTTCACAATTTGATTTGAAATGCAAAAGTAGACCCTATATTGCATTTAGAGCAAAACTAGTCTTCTGGGCATGTAGAATTACAAACCAAGCCCTTGTGAACAAAGAAAAAAACGCTGGTCACAATGTCTGTTTTACCCTGTTTAAAGTCTATACATGAAGTCTACACGTATTAGACTTCATGATGAAGTCTAATCCTAAATACAACTAAAATTTAATTTATAAAATTATAGGAAATTGTTTTGATCAAAAAAATTATACATAAATAAGATTAGAACATTTGGCATCCAAGAAAAATAAACTTGCATAAAAATGACTCCATTTAACTCAAGTAAGAGAAATTATGTTTGTAACCTATAAACTGCTTGAAGTCTACTCCCGAAGTCTAATATATAGCAAAATCGTAAATTTAAAGTTTGAAATCTGTTAAAAATATTTTGATGAAGGTATTTACACATAATTTAAACAAAGACAAGTACTATCCATGAAAAATAAATTTGCATATAAATTGATCAATTTAAAATCGGTAATACAAATTATGGTATAATCCAAAAAATATTGTGTGAAGTCTACTGAAGAAGTCTACCAAATAACAAAATCTTAAATTTAAAGTTTAAAATCTATAAAAAATATTTAGGCTTAAAAAAATTATAAATAATCTAAATGAAGACAAATCCTATCTATGTAAAATAAATTTCATGGAAATTAATCAGTTTATAAGTTTCATGAGTAAACCAATCATCAAGCTTAGTGTTTGAGGTACAATGTATAGGGTTTATGAGTATGATTGTTAGGGTTTAGAGAATTTTGACATAAAAAATTGTTTGTGGTTTGTTTAACGATTTAAAGCTAATGAATTTATAGTTTATAATGTAAATTGTGATTATATATACATAATTGATGTTTTCTATAGCTTTGATCTCAAAAATTCGATTTAGGGTTTAGGGTAAGTCAGACTTCATCGGTAGACTTCATAGTTAGACTTTGCTATGAAGTCTTTTATTCAAAAAAACGAGTGGGAAACGAAATTTAGGGCGGGAAACGAAATATTTTGGGCGAATAAATTTCTCATTAAAAGTTCAATTTGTAGACTTCACGAGTAGACTTTGTACATCAATTCCGGTTTTTGAACAGAACCGGTCGAAGGAAATTCTAATGTTTGTTGTAATTGGGTTTAACCAAAGTTAACCGGCCATAATCGAAAGTGAGAAACCCAAAATCAGGGTTTCACTTTCACATTTCACTTTCACAAACCCAAGTCCGTTCCGTTCTCTCTCTTTGTCGGATAGGCGATTGCATGTTCTCTCCGCCCACCGTCGCCGTCGAAGAAGAAAGACAGACCCACTATCGTCGCCGCCGCCTTTTCCCCTTCCTCCTCCGAAGTATACTTCTGTAAGTCATATTCATATATCAGTGATATACGTATTTGTGTCTGTTTCCCTCTACTGTCGTTATACTCACAGTGGAATCTTCTTTTGAACCCTTCCGCCACCGTTGGTTGCCGCTGTCTGATATCACCATATTTTACATGATTTTACTATATAATTACCTATGTTTTCAAACGGTTTTTGCAAGATTCTTTGCCTTTAGAGGTAGTTTTCTTGTATTTGTGGGATTTGAAGTCTTTGTAGGTGAAATAATCAAAAAGGATGCAAAAAGGAGTAAAAGAGCCCTAAATCAAGATCCATGCAAGTTTCCAAGTCAAGAAGATCATTTTATCTCCAAGTGTTAGTTCTCGCTGCGCGCAGAACGAAGCTTCGGAAGTTTGGCCGCGCGCGGAGGAGTTCCCGACGTCCAAAAGTTACGATCTTGATATGGAAAGATAGATACTTGAGTCATGCATCACGTCGAAGTGGAATGAAGCCATTTGGATCAACTATGAGGCCTAGACTTATTTTCTACCGAGACATGTCCGGTAAGCGAGCAAACGAAGCCCATGGAGGATTTGGAGTGTCTAATGGCCCGAGCAGCAGCGCCAAAGGCCTTGATCGAATAGAGAAGAGGCCTGGCTAATGTTTGGAGCTTTCCTTGGTACAATGTCGGCCCATACACGACGTGGAGAAGAAGGCTTTGCTCGCGGGAAACTTTCCTTTTCCGGCATGAAGAAAACCCTACGCGACTTCGCCCATATATACATGTTTTTAGCCGCTGAAGAAGAGAGTCGAGTAGAAAATTATCAAAGAGTGTACGTGTGAGAAGAGAGAGAGGAGAGAAGCCCTAGGAGATCGTCCAAGAAGAAGGAGGCGCCGCTCAACTCTTGTTCTTTCTTTTTCATTGTTTCCATTTCTATAAACTTGATTTAAGAGTTTTCAAGGGAGAATCCGACTTTGTTCATCAATAGAGAAGCTTTCTTCATCCCTTTATCTCTTTTAATACTTGCATAATGTTTACAATCATGCTTTGCTTGCTTGTTTGCATCATGGCCGAGTAGATCTCTTAGTTAGGCCGAGGAGATCTATGGTGGCCGTGATGATTTGATTGTGTTGCAACTTATTGGGATTTATCTTATGGATCTTCACCTTTACTTGAGCTTAATGCATGATTACTCTACCGTACATCTAGTAATCTGATCTTAGAGAAATAGAACCACGACAGTGCTGAATCTAGATCTCAAAACTAGTATTTGGTGAGCAATAGATCATAGCCAACGAAAGCTGAGTTATGGTTTATTGTGAACAATTGAATCTTGAACCTTGTAATGCATGTTTGCAATTCTAATAGCCAACGAAAGCTGAGTATATTAGGTTGTTTTAAACATAGTGGTTGGAGCCACGACAGTGGAAAGACCATACACTAGTGATTCATGTTCAAGACGGCTCTACACACATCCCATGCAACTATCTTTTCATCATTGCTCCATATGATTGTCCTTTGCCTAACTCTTGTTTTAAATTGTTTACAAACTCACTCACATTTCTTTTGTTTTTTCTCATTCTAGGTCCAAAACCACCTCATATTGCGAGCTAGCTACAAACCAATCTCACAAGGTGTTAAGTGAGAACACTTCCTCCTCGTGTTCGACCCCGACTACAACACGGCTGTGCACTTGCAGCTCATTAGTTGGGTTTATAAATTGTGAAAATTTGAGGCAATCTAAACCCGCCATCAAGCTTTCTGGCGCCGTTGCCGGGGAGGAGTTGCTTTTCCTTCACACCTCTTGATTGATTTCAAGACTAGCTCATCTCATCTTTCACTTTTCTTTGTTTTTGTTTTTCATAAAATCTTAAAAACTCATAAAAATTTTACTTAACTCTCTCTCTTTGTGTGTTTCTAAGGTGCATGACAAGAAGGTCCAATCCAAATACAACCATTGAAGAAGATCTTGACATTGACCAACTTGAGCGCACACTTAGGCGACTAAGGAGAGAAAGAATGAATCCAGGCGGAGAAGGCGCGCCAAATAGGCCAAACAACCCGCCCGACCAAGAGAGGAGAGCCAATGATCCTCCTAATCCAGCAGAAGCTAGAGCTGACCAGCCAGCACCGGCCAGAGACGTTCCTCCACCCAATCCGAACGCGCCCGATGCAGCTGAGCCGCTACAGCCACCTCTTAACCCGCCGCGACCACCACCGGCGTTTGCAAATGGACATCATCGTCACGGTGACAACCAAGGGATGCCTCAAGACCAACCTCACGCACCTCCAAGGAGAGTGCCAAACGCGCAGCATCCAAGGCACCAAACTATGGGAGACTTTGATTCGTCCGATGCTTTCTTTATGGATCGGAATCCAATCCGACCGCCTCTACCTCCAAGGAACGATTTTGAGATCAAACCGCAGATCATTGCCTTGGTGAAGCAAAACCAATTCCATGGTTTGCCCACTGAGCATCCTCTTGATCACGTCGACACCTTTGAGGAGATATGTAGCACAACTCGTGTTAATGGAGTATCGCCGGATTACTTCAAGTGCAAGCTATTCACTTTTTCTCTAAGTGACAAGGCGCTAAGATGGGTAAAATCTTTACCACCTCAGTCCATTACAACATGGAATGAATACAAGGGAGCTTTCTTGAACCAATTCTACACTAAGCAAAGATCCAACTCTATAAGGAGCAAGATTTCTGGTTTCAAGCAAGATTCAATGGAGTCATTCTATGAAGCTTTGGAGAGATTCAAGGAGTACACAAGAAGCTGCCCTAACCATGGCTTTTCAGAAGGTAACCTTTGGAACATCTTTTACAATGGGATTGATCATAAATACAAGCTTTCTCTCGATACCGCGAGCAATGGTAATTTCATGACCAAGTCGGTGCCGGAGGCAAAGCTTTTGATTGAGAATCTCGCTGCTAGTGATGCCAATGCATGCCCTGACTACAATAGAAGCGTGAAGACCACGAGCTCATCAGAATCAGCTCAAATCTCGGAGCTAAGGAACATGGTCTCACAACTACTTAAAAGCCGACAAGGAGTTCACGCCATTGAAGATGCCCTAGCCACAAATGAAGACACTCTTATGGATTTCATGAGAGATGGCGCTGAAGAGAATCTAGAGGAAGTCAACTACATTGGAGGAAACTATGGGAATAGAGGATTCAATCCACCATTTCGCGCGCATCCAAACCTATCATACCGGAGCAACAATGTGGAGAATCCAAATGACCAAGTCTACCCCAATCAAGGAGCGTATCAAGGAGGCCAATACCAATCCAAGCCACAACAAGTCTATCCAAGAGGGATGTACCAAGTGAAGCAACCATTCACTTTTTCTCAAGAAACAAATCCAACCCAAACCGGAGAGAAGGTTGACGTGGCGTTGAAGAAATACATGGAGGAGCAGAGATTGATCACCAAGAACCTATATGAGAAGCTTGATCACATGTTTGGTGATCTAAGCAGCAAGTTTGGGTCTCTCTCTACTCACGTTCAAAAGCTTGAGGTGCAAATCGCTCAAACAGCCGAGGCGGCCAAGAAACAAAATGAGGTAAACACTCAAAAATTTTGTAGTGTTGTCTCATCTATAGATGGCACAATTGTTCCTACACTATCTCAAGGGGAAGAAGAAGAAAATGAGCCTAAGGAGAGGCACAAACCGGAGAGATACAGTTGGGAATCAAGAAGAGCTTACAAGAGAAGACTTGAAGGCAAGCCACTACAAAAACAAGAAGATCCGGGGAAGTTTGTGATAACTTCAAGTATCAATGGCATTCAACTCCACGATTGCCTATGTGATACTGGTGCTAATGTTAATCTAATGTCTCTTGCACTTGCAAAAGATTTGGGATTCAAGGAATTCAAGAGCCCCAAGATAAGAGTCGAGTTCGCGGATCTATCGTGCATGGAACCTTATGGAATGCTTGAAGATGTCATGATGGAAATAGGGGGTCGATCGGTCCCAACTGACTTTCAAGTCATGATTTGGGAAGGCTCAAAGAGGAATCAACTGATTCTTGGAACCCCATTCCTTGCTACAGCTGGAGCGGTCCTAAACTACTTTGGGAATCATCTATCTTTTGGCCACATCCGGCAAGATATCTTTTTCCCAAGTGTAAATTTCAGGTCAGTGCCAAGTGCGACCAAGCTACCACCAGAAGAAGCCACTCTCACCTAAGAAAGAAGCTATGCTGCATGGAGAAAGAAGAGAGAGTGAGCGCTACCCAAAACCAAAGGAGAAGAAGAAAACATTGGAGCCGAGGCATGAAAATGTCTTTAAGATATCAACTCCATCTTACTTCCAACCTTTGATGAATATGGAGCTGAAGAGGAGACTAATGGTGCACCTAATCTCTTTCACAAGATAAGAATCTTTACACCAAAAGATTCGGAGCTTAAAGGTGACCAATCCATTGAAGAGAAGCTTGAGAGAACTATGAAGCTTTTCCCCAAGGCATTGGTTTTCAAAGATGATGTGAGAGATGACTATGGCGCGACAACACCACCACAAGAATCCACTGAACCGGAGAATGGAGAAGCTAAAGGGATCCTTTGCCCTTCAGCCACTCTTCACCACGATTGAAAGAAAGAAAAGGAGTCAAGCTAAATGACTTAAAACAAAAGCGCTTTATGGGAGGCAACCCATATGGTTTTTAACTATTATTTCTATTTTGCAGGAGTTTTTCAAAAATCAAACAAAAATACAAAAATATTTTCTTAGGATGAAGACCCAAAGGAGACCAAACAATGGAAGTGTCCCACCCAATGAGCCCACCCTTGTACAAGGCGTTTCTCTTCCAAAAGGTAAGTAAACTCTCACCTAGTATTCATTTCTAATCACTCTTGATCTTCACTTGAAAAATCGTTTAAACCATTGCACTTTATCAAATATATTTCATGGTTTAACTTGATTTACTTTTGATGATTGGAAAGAATACATAATCACTTGTCAAAACTCATTCTGCTCACTGAAATTACAAGAGATTGAACTATAGTTTGAAATTTGGATCATTGACCAAGACCAAATAAGAATTTATAGTTTGTGCTTTAATCTCTTGGATTGTGAACTTCAAGTTGGTCACTTGAGGATCACAATCTGAGAAACCATCTAATCATGATTTCAAGTGTTTTGCAAGGAGTTAACCATTTGACAGGAAGGAGAAATAGAGCAAACCTATAACCAACCTCAAAACCAACATGCATATGGCGGCCAAAGGGAGGTTAAAAGGAGATACATAGGCCATCACACGAAACAAGGCGGCCACCACTTGGGAATGACACAGGAGGGTTATTAAAACAATTCGGTCGAAGAAAATCTCAATTGGCCCGAGTGGATTTGAAGAAATTCAATCCGGACATTTCTCTCGGCCATACCGCGCACAAGGAGACCAATTACGGCCAACTCCTAAACGGCGTGACCAAAGTCCACCAAACTTCACAGGCGACCATAAAATCACATTTTGGTCGGCAAATCCAAAAGATAGGACGGAGAAATCATCACGGATCATGAGATAGACGACGGAGCTCATTCTGGCCGATGGCGCGCAAGCAATATGGCCGACAAAACCAAATCACGGCATAGGCGCGCCAACCGGTTGGAAAACTCTTCTTTGAGCTTAACTAACACTTTTATGCAGGAAGAAACGAAAAGGAACGAGCCAAACTTCACATGGCCAAGGAAACTCCTTCCCGGAGCCGACTTGACCATTTTGTGAAGGAAGTCTCAATCCGCTCGTACAAATGCTCCCAAACTTCACCAGAGGCTATAAAATACCAGGTTGGTCGATGAAATTTCAATATAGGTCATGAAATTTTTGACGGTTTGTTCTGTAGTTCACAGCACCACATTTTGGCCGACCGAATATACCAATCTCGGCCAAAACACAAACCGGCGGAAACCAAGGCCTGAAATTAAAAACTCACCGACCAATATTGCCTAAAGAAGTGTAGAATGACCCAAACCGGAACTGATCTTCATTATAAATTGGTCGACATTTGGTAACATCATCCTAAACCTTTTTCTTTTCAATTTTTCATTTGAACTTCATGTTATGCCTCTCTTAATCCGATTTGATTTCACCGGGACGGTGCAAGTTAAGTCTGGGGGGATTACTAACAATGTTTGTTCATTTTGGCATTTTCATTTGCATTTTTCCCTTTTATCGAGTCGTTTTTATTGAGTCAAAATTTTTGTCGAGAATCATGACCTTATCTTGGATCTAACCATGGTTGTACTAATGTTTAAGTGACCATTGAGCAGTTCTTGGCAATACATCTTACCACAGGTGCACTATGAGTTGATCGATCTACCAAAAACGCCTACATCTCTAAAGACTTGAGAAGGATCCATCTTTGACTCCGCCCTTAATGAACTTAATCTTCTCAGCTAGGGGCTTGGCATACAAATGGCATGATTCCTCATCCTCTCCATCAAATGAAAAAGTCTTAGTGAGTTCGTGCTTCCCTCTCTCTCCCCTTCAAATTTAAAGAAAAAGCGTAAGGTCCAAGTAACCGGGGATTCGGTGGCAAACACCATCAATACTCGCGTCTATGGAAGGCCTATGAATCCAAGCAACCGGGGATTCGGTGGCAAACACCATCAATACTCGCGTCTGTGGAAGATCCAAGCAAAACCTCTATAATAAAGAGAAGGAGTTGAATAAAAAAATACTTCGCTACCCTAAAAAAGGGATGAATCAACTCAAAGAAGTGAGAAGAGAGAGAGGAGAAACATGGAGTAAAAGACAAGTGCCAAACAAGGGGATGAGAAAGAATCTAAAAGCCGGCTGATCGATACTCCCTAGTTGAGACCACACCTTTAGAAATGAAAGGAGTCAAGGGTGGCGAATTGGATTGTCCAAGGAGAGGTGGACCGCTTTGGGAAAATCGCAAAACTCATGGTATGTACTTTGTTCTTAATTCAAAACTTGCCAATGCTGTTTCATGTGGATTACTAAAGCATAAGTCAATTTGGATTTCCAAAAGATTTGAGAGTTCTCACGTTTTCAAACCTCTTTTCCTGCTTAGTTTGCTTGGGGACAAGCAAAAGGCTAAGTCTGGGGGAGTTGATATCACCATATTTTACATGATTTTACTATATAATTACTATGTTTTCAAACGGTTTTTGCAAGATTCTTTGCCTTTAGAGGTAGTTTTCTTGTATTTGTGGGATTTGAAGTCTTTGTAGGTGAAAAATCAAAAAGGATGCAAAAAGGAGTAAAAGAGCCCTAAATCAAGATCCATGCAAGTTTCCAAGTCAAGAAGATCATTTTATCTCCAAGTGTTAGTTCTCGCTGCGCGCAGAACGAAGCTTCGGAAGTTTGGCCGCGCGCGGAGGAGTTCCCGACGTCCAAAAGTTACGATCTTGATATGGAAAGATAGATACTTGAGTCATGCATCACGTCGAAGTGGAATGAAGCCATTTGGATCAACTATGAGGCCTAGACTTATTTTCTACCGAGACATGTCCGGTAAGCGAGCAAACGAAGCCCATGGAGGATTTGGAGTGTCTAATGGCCCGAGCAGCAGCGCCAAAGGCCTTGATCGAATAGAGAAGAGGCCTGGCTAATGTTTGGAGCTTTCCTTGGTACAATGTCGGCCCATACACGACGTGGAGAAGAAGGCTTTGCTCGCGGGAAACTTTCCTTTTCCGGCATGAAGAAAACCCTACGCGACTTCGCCCATATATACATGTTTTTAGCCGCTGAAGAAGAGAGTCGAGTGAAAATTATCAAAGAGTGTACGTGTGAGAAGAGAGTTCAGAGGAGAGAAGCCCTAGGAGATCGTCCAAGAAGAAGGAGGCGCCGCTCAACTCTTGTTCTTTCTTTTTCATTGTTTCCATTTCTATAAACTTGATTTAAGAGTTTTCAAGGGAGAATCCGACTTTGTTCATCAATAGAGAAGCTTTCTTCATCCCTTTATCTCTTTTAATACTTGCATAATGTTTACAATCATGCTTTGCTTGCTTGTTTGCATCATGGCCGAGTAGATCTCTTAGTTAGGCCGAGGAGATCTATGGTGGCCGTGATGATTTGATTGTGTTGCAACTTATTGGGATTTATCTTATGGATCTTCACCTTTACTTGAGCTTAATGCATGATTACTCTACCGTACATCTAGTAATCTGATCTTAGAGAAATAGAACCACGACAGTGCTGAATCTAGATCTCAAAACTAGTATTTGGTGAGCAATAGATCATAGCCAACGAAAGCTGAGTTATGGTTTATTGTGAACAATTGAATCTTGAACCTTTAATGCATGTTTGCAATTCTAATAGCCAACGAAAGCTGAGTATATTAGGTTGTTTTAAACATAGTGGTTGGAGCCACGACAGTGGAAAGACCATACACTAGTGATTCATGTTCAAGACGGCTCTACACACATCCCATGCAACTATCTTTTCATCATTGCTCCATATGATTGTCCTTTGCCTAACTCTTGTTTTAAATTGTTTACAAACTCACTCACATTTCTTTTGTTTTTTCTCATTCTAGGTCCAAAACCATCATATTGCGAGCTAGCTACAAACCAATCTCACAAGGTGTTAAGTGAGAACACTTCCTCCTCGTGTTCGACCCCGACTACAACACGGCTGTGCACTTGCAGCTCATTAGTTGGGTTTATAAATTGTGAAAATTTGAGGCAATCTAAACCCGCCATCACTGTCCGTGTTGCCGTTGTCGGTGTTGCCGCTGTGGAATCGAACGACCTATTAAATTGCACGAATTATTCTCTTCCTCTCACCGCCGGTTAGTTATCTCCCTTTCACTTTTTTTCTCTCTGCGTACGCCCTTCAAACCGTGGACTAATCGATTGTAGATCTGTGGTAGGTCTCCTTTGCCGGATAGTAGTATCCGCCGCCGTTGCTGGCCCTCATAACCGCAAAGAATAAGGTAAAAGTCTATTGTTAGGGTTTAGTTAGCCGCTCTTTAGCGGCGGTTGGCTAGAGTAGAGCAGACTTAAAGTACAGACTTCACCTTTAGAATTGATAGACTTCATAGTTAGACTTCATAGTTAGACATCATATTTAGACTTCGTAGTTAGACATCATATCTAGATTTTATTTGTGCCGTGTAAAATTGTAGACTCCTAATTTCTCATATTTTCAATGTGTTTTCAGTATGGACGCCGTGACATTTCCTAGGAGAAGAACCGGATTATGATCGCAGTGTTGTCTACTATAGCAAGAACACTGCGCTGTGGTCTCAAATGCACACCACACTTAAAGAGGAATGGGATGAGCTTGAGAATTCTAAGCTGGGACTCCTCTTCAAGTTCACGAAGCTCGAGTTTAATTGGGCATCGAAGGTGGCACAGACTATGCTCACTATGCAAGTAGCATGCAAGAAGAAGTATGAGATATGGAGTGCCGTGGGTGTACAGCCAGTGCGATTTTCTCTGAACGAGTTTGAACACATCACCGGGCTTAACTGCGAGTATAAAGAAGCGCTGACGAAGCCAGAGACTGTTAACACAGACGAGATGAAAGACTTCTGGCGGAAGCTTGGTGTGAATGAGAAGCTTGGTCCGAGCGTTGACGAACTCTTAGCAGCGTGCCAGTGGGCCGGAGAGTGGAGCAGAGAGGATAGGCTGAGACTTGGTTTTTTGGCGTATACGCTGGCTTCATTGATGCTCGCAAAAGTTCCACTCATACACGAGTAGCACTGGCTAGTCAAGTTATGGACTTGGAGAAGTTTGAAAACTATCCCTGGGGGCGAGTAGCTTTCAAGACCCTCATCAAGTCCATAAAGAAAGCAGACGTGTCCAAGCCATTCAGCCTCGAAGGCTTTGCTGAAGTCGTGCAAGTGTGGGCGTACTATGCTATGCCGAGGTTCGGAGAAGAAAACGGTGATCCGAGGCCAAATAATCCTGAGCCACCGCTGCTAGCATTCAATGGAATCAGAGGGAAGAGATATGTTATCGGAACCATGAAGAAGCAGGTAATTCATTTGCCTTGTACTCTCTGCATATTAATCATAATATCCAAAAATTCTTGACTTTTCTGATAACGGTTTTGCAGGTGCTTTTCAATCACATGGTAATGGTGGACAAGGCAGACGTGTACCCACGTTGGGACAAGGAAATAGATGACGAGAAGGTGGACAACATCATCAAGGCCTTACTTGGGGAATTTGGTGGAGGATGGGTCTGGAAACCAGCTGACTGGGTTAGAGAAGGGATATCGGTGGTTAAGAAGGTGAAGTCCGAGAAGTCTGTGAAGTCAGAGAAGTCTCATGGCAAGAGGAGTCTCTCTGATGAGGCTGATGATGATGAAGCGATAAGTGTCAAAAGAGCTCGGACTAGGTGGTTCACCTGCGGAGGCTCTGGTGCTGGTTGGAAAGGTCTTGAGGCGAAGATTGAGGAGCTTTTTAAAGACTTCAACAAAAAACACTTCGAGGAGATGAGTAAGACTCAGGAAAAGATTCAGGTCCTCACTGCTCAAGTCGCTGTGGTAGGAAGGATTGTGAAGAAGCTTTCGCATCCTAAGGATTCTCAGAAGTCCGATGAGAAGCCTGTGCATTCCAATGAGGATTCTGCGAAGGCCAAGGAGGAGCTGGAGAAGAAGAATGAGGATCTGGATCAGAAGAATGAGGAGCTGGAGAAGTCCGATGAGAAGCTGGAGAAGTCCAACGATGGTGAAGGGACTTCTGGTGCAACGGTTAGTACTTCTAAAAATGATGGTAAATTTGTTGAAAAGAGATATGTGCGTAGGAGTAATAGGTTGGGTGTGAAAAAGAACAAGTGAGATGTGTATGTTGTGTTTTGCGTTGTACACTTTCCCTTCTATTTAAATAAAGTTCAAACTTCTCGACACTCATTATCTGTTTTGTCTCTCTCTATCTCTCTTGTGTTTGAGCAATGTTAATAATACCGGCGACGAGGATACAGACTGCACTTGGGTCCGGACACATATTCCAACTGATTCTGAGGAAGCCGAAGAGAAAAGGCAACATGAAGAGCTGATCAAGGCGGCGAATGTTATAGCAAGAGGAAAAAGTGAGAGAGTCAGGAGGCTGGCGTCTACACAGGAAGGTGAGTTCGAGGGAAACAGCACCGCTAGAAGGATCATCCTAAACAACCCCCGGAGAAACCCAAATCCCCACCGAAATACCTAAGATCATCCCTAAACCAAGGAAAGCAGGTAATTAGAAGAAAGCCGATCCTCCGTCCAAAGAAAGGCGATCCTCCGAAGAAAGCACCTCCTCCGAAGAAAGCAGCTGAACCTAAGAAAGCACATGGTGGGAAAGCAACCGGTGGGAATGAACCTCTAGGGTATAATCCATTTGCTCCACCTCTCGAGGAAAGGAAAACACCAATGCTGGCATTCGTTTCCGGATTACCGTGAGTCTCTAAACTCTACTGTCTCTTCGTTGTTTGACCAAATTAAAGAGGCTTACGAGAATTTACCAATGTTTCAGGGGCTATTGTGCAGGTAAAGAGCCGGACAAGGTAGCTTACCCGGAATGGCACTGGTGGTTTACTTTGCTCACGGGGTTGGAATGGCTGTCGGATAGCGTAAGTTCTGATTGCTAGACTTCTTAAATATACTTCATAATTATACTTCAATGTTAGACTTCTGACATAGACTTCATAGATAGTCCTCATACTCGATTTATCGTTACCATTGTAGCATATGAAGTACTGGGCCATGATCGCGGGATCAGGTCTTCCCCTTTCCTATCCCTGATTCTGCAAGTGCACAGGTCAGAAGTAGTAAACGGGTATCGAACACAAGGACCAGATTGCACACTACAAGTTATGAGTTCAAGATCAAGCTAGGGCAAAAGTATAAGTTGGTTGAGTGCAGAGAAAGTAAAGCATGCAAGTAATAAAAAGTGAGAATTCAATAGGAGAGAAAGGCTAAGCAATAGGATAGTCTTGAGATAAGCAATTCAAGAAGCATGAAATCAATCAATTAGGGTTACCGCACTTAGGTGCTAATCTAGAACTTGAAACACTATGGTATGATCATTCCACTGTCGAGGCTCCGACCCCTTTGTTAATCTACCTAGTCGCTAAACTTTTGGTATGTCCCTAGGTGATTAAATCAAGCATTAGTTCGATCAAGATCAATTGTTCACAACCTACAAGTAGATCAACTGTCGCAGTCTAAAAGAGATTGCCCACCAAATACTAGTTCAGGCGAATGATACAGCACTGTCGAGGCTCAAATCAACCTAAAGGCATATGCTAATTGGCCAGATTAACAACAAGCATTAAGTATAAGCAAAGATGGAGATTATAAGTAAAACCCTAATTGTGATCAATCATCAAGCATACATGAATGCTATCCTTTGACTTCCTATCACTTAACAAGTAAACTACTCAGACATAGAGAAGGAACACGAATTCATATTCATAAGAACAGAGATTCGAATCCTCTCTAGAAAGAGTAACAAGCAAGAACAAAGTAAAAGCAAGCAAAACTTTATTAAGATGTAAAATAGATTGTGGTCTCTCTCCTTCTTGAGTTACAAGGCTAAAAAGAAGTATTTATAATGCTCTAAGTATGAAGGCGGCTAAACCTAATCTAGCTAGGGCGGCGCCTGTAACACCCCCGGTTCGGTCTATGAATAGACTAAACCGCAGATGCCACAAGTGTCGAGGTTCATAAGATAGGCCGTCTTGGGTCTAAGAACAAATCAGAGCCCAAGTCAGCTAATCCGATGAATACGACCCTCTCGACCATCGGTTAAGGCTTTGCAACCTGCTCCTCCGGTCTTGAGTTGTGTTAGCTCCGGACAAGAGCTAATATCATTCGAGAGGCCAGATTTGTAAAAAGATAACTTTATATAATAACCTTGTCAAAACAAGTTCTTACAAAACTTTATACTATTTTGCCGGCAAGGCCTAGTGCCCAAAGCATAGCTATTGCATATAATAACCTGAAATCGAGTTTTACAAAAGCCAAGCCAATCTACTCCGGTCTTCAGCTGTTCTGCCTCCGTCCACGGGCTTCAACTAAGGGTTACCTGTAAGACAAATAATCATCATGAGTAACCTAATGTTACTCAGTGAGTTCAGGACCCTCTATACAAAGGTTATCCCCAAACCCAAACCCCAAAAGAAAAAGGCGGGATCTCATCCGCCACCTGCAACACAAAGCAATTATGCAATATTGCTGCTATAGCCTTAAGACTAACCGTACCCCAATCAAACAAGAACAGGTACGATCAATCCAAGACTATAACAACACTCAAACAAGCAATCAATCAATCAAGCAATGCACACAATCAATCTATATGCAAAGCAACCCTAATCAAGTAGCGGAATACTTGACTTCTACATGCAGTGAGGCCTCTAGGTGCATAAGCCACATTCTCAGCCCACGCCTGTGAAGGTTCACGCTCATCCGGAATCACACAGAAACTAGATGAACGCCTTCACCCGGGCACTACAGTCCATCGCGGTACCCGGTTCATCCTCCCATCTATTGGCCTTACTGGCGCACCATGCCAATGTCTGGTTGGATCCCATATCGTCATATGGTACCATACTCGGCCAAGGCAGCTGACCAGGTTATCCTCCGAGTCTTCCTCCCTTCATGCACAGCCTCCACGCTGCCAATCCGGTTGGGCTCTGACGTGCGAGAATGCGCTTGACTACACCTTCCTAAACAACATGTGGTTAGACACGCCACATGTTCTCAGTACTTAGCATATGGGCCTTTACGCACCACTATGCCTCATACCCTCGGTTCTGCGGCAGAGCTTCCCTTGCCTCGGAAGAGTACCCACACGAACCTCGAAAGATCTGGCGGCTCAGCCGTCCGTGATCTTTCCACATCGGAGTCATACTCAACATATGGGCCTGACGCACCACCATGTTAGCATGCACTCGAGGTTTAGCGGCATAGCCATGCTATAACCCCACAACCGATGCATCTATGAGATTTGGCGGCATAGCCATCCACAATCTCACATCACCTAAAGTATAGACATGCATCTATACAAACAAGATCTGACGGCATAACCTTCCCCGAAGGTTACCCATCACAATCTTACACACAAAAGAGATCTGCCAGCATAACCTTCCCCGAAGATTACCTGACACAACCTCACAACACAAGAGATCTGACGGCATAACTTCTCTCTCTAGAAGATTACCCGTCACAACCTCACAGAGATTTCTGCAGCATAACTCTCCACAATTTTTACTAAACATTATTGTTTAGAGAGTTATACCACATACTTAATAAACGATAGAAGGAAATAAACTATAACCTAGCTACCGGAACTCACAGATTTTAGACGACCCAGCTGACCCCGTTCCTAGCCTACCCCGCTCTAGCCCGAACCCGATCCGCCTCTGGATCTTCTTCTTCTTCTTCTCCTTTCTCTCTTGGGCGTTCGTCCCATCTCTCAATCTGCTCGTCCGATTTGCATTATGCTTCGACCAAACTTCTTAGAATTGTTTCTTATGTCGTCCAAACTCTTCTCTTCTTGATTTGGAGAACTTTGATATTTCGTTGTCCTGTCGACTCTTCCCATGTTCGTACAATGATCGTCCCACCTGGACAATCTTGTTGTATCTTCACTTCTGCTCGTTCGTTTTTTATCATGTCTTTATCCAAGTCTTCGTTGTGATCTCCGTATTAGATCCCACGTCTTTGTCTTCCAATCCCAGAGTGTTGATCTTCCCATCCCGGCCTTTGGGATGTTTTAGGTCTTGATACAGGGTATCACAGCGCCGGCTTTGGGCTTGAGTTGTGCGGATTGGGCTTCAAAAACGGCTTCGGGTCGACCGCGGCGTTCGGACGGATTGAGATTTGGCCGATGAAAATCCTCGGCCGGATGCGAGGCATAGTTCCCCGGGTCGGACTGATCGTTCGTGCGCGGTACGTGAGGCGAGTTGCGCGGCCGCGAGGCGTTACTTCCCGGCTCGCGCGCTTTGGTCGTGCGCAGCGTGGCGTGGGCGGTTGTAGCGTGGCCGACCGCGGGTTTAAGTTTCCCGGGTCGTGATGCGTGATCGGCCGAGCGGCTTTGGACTTTGGCCGAGACTTCAGACGGACGGACACAGTTTTGGCCGAGCGCGGAACGTGTGTTCCTCGGCCAGCCGGACTGCGCGGTTTGGGCGCCGATTCTCGATAGAGCCGTCTGGAGCAGTCTTCACTCTTTTGTCTATAACTCCTTTTCTACTCATCCAAATGAAACCATTCCAGTTGCGTTGGAAATTTAACTCAATCAGAGCACGCAGGAAACTGGTCTTGATGAAATCCATTGAGTAGATCTTTTTCTAGCTCCATCCAAAGTTGATGCATGGGCATTGAACTGGTTTAGAGTCCAAATCCTCTGTTTTGCTCCATAATGCACCTTTTTACCTAAAATGACTCTTTGCACTATAAATCCATAAAAACTACCTTTTAACACAAGAATCTACTAGAAAACCATTAGAAAACCATAGTAAAATAGCATAAAAAGTAGGTAAAATAGAGGTATATCAGGCCACCATGATGACTCAACGCCTAGCAACGCGTCCGGAGTTGTTTAAGAATGATAGGATATGTTTCCTTAACACTAATATCACTCAATTTTGGGAAAGGGACTGGCCCAAGTATCAGAGATGTCAAATGCTGCCTCCTAATTCGCTGGACTGGTACTTTGGCAATCTCCCGAAAAGCCAGCCCACCAGGAAGCGATGGGGTTATGATGTTGATGATTTATTCATTCCATTGAATATCAAGAACAAGCATTGGGTCGCGCTGCATGTCTTCATACCCAACAGGCACATTACCATCTACGACAGTATGGTGGACTGGCTCGATGATGCGCAAATGGACTTGTTGGTGGAACCCTATGCGGTGATGATGCCGAACCTTATGCACTCCGCGGCGCAGGCTGAGGACAAATGCGTATACTTTGATGCGAAGTACACGCACAGCCGTCCGAGTAAGGATGTGTCACAGCAAATCGGGTCTGGAGATTGTGGCGTGTTTGTCCTGAAGTACCTCGAGTGCCTTGCAGTCGGATATGCCGCATTTCCGAAGACGTTGTGCCAGAAAAACATCAGCATGTTTAGGGAGCAGATTGCGTATGATCTGTACCATGAGATCAACTGCCGTGGACCGGTCGAGGACCCAGATGATTGGGAGAATGTTTATTTGTATGACGAGAAATTGTGAAAGGTGAGGACCCATAAACTAATGCTCTTTTGAACCCGATGATAGGTTTAGGCTAATTATTCTTTTGTAATCTATCGCTGATCGGCCAAACACATTTCAGAAGTCTATTGTTTTGGTATATTGTGCACTTGGTAAACTTGTTATTGAATTTCGTATTTTTTTCCTCCATTTCATCCATAAAGTAAACTTCATAGATAGACTTGCAACATAGACTTCTGTGACAGACTTCACGAAAAATAAAAAACAGTGTTTTCCTCCGTTTCATCCACCTAAAACACGAACAAAACATACAAAATGGACATACTCACAATAAACTTCATAGATAGACTTGCAACATAGACTTCTGTGACAGACTTCACGAAAAATAAAAAACAGTGTTTTCCTCCGTTTCATCCACCTAAAACACGAACAAAACATACAAAATGGACAGACTCACAATAAACTTCATAGATAGACTTGCAACATAGACTTCTGCGACAGACTAAAAACACAATTCAGTCTTCAGCGACCTGTGTGGTGAAGAAAGTGAAAGATGTCAGCTCCTCTCAATGTGGATGCAAAGCATGAAGAAACAGTTTTATAAACTTACACAATTGGGGCGAGTGTGACCAGGTTCCTTGCACTTAGAGCAGCTGTACTTCTTATTTGTTTTCCTTGGTTTAGTGTTTTTCTTCCTAGACATCTCTAGCCAAGTTTGCCACCTCGACTTCTTCGGCCTTCCACGAGGGACACTCTCCCCTGGAGGCAAACAGGGAACAGGCTTCACGTGGGAGTCAGTTCCCGCTTTGGGGTAAATCGGTGAGGCATATGTTGAGAACAAGGAAGGCGTCGAATGAGTGGCGCATACGTAATAGGACATGTCGATGTTAGCTTCGGCTGCAGCTGCAATAACATGAGAGCAAAGGATTTTTTCAACGTTATACACACCGCATGAGCATGTTCGATTCTCCAAGTCGACATTACAATCTCGTCTCCCGCCTTTAACATGAAAGCGCCAAGTGTCTATGCGATTTACGATCATACTTCCCGCATAGTAAGACCGTATGGCCAATATGTACTCAACACCTCTGCTGTGTCTGGTTGTGAGACTCAATGCATCCTCCCGCCTTTTGCTAAACCATCTCCCGAGCTTCTCCCTAATAAACTCCAAAAGACGAGGAATAGGTAATCCTTTTGGTTTCTTGACAGCCGAATTAATAGATTCTGCGATGTTGCTCGTCTTTATATTGTATCTATTACCTTCAAAATGAACTCTCGACCATAACTTCGGATCTGCGCTCTCTAAGTAAACAGCTAGGGAAGGGTTTGCAGCTATTATGAGGTCCATGTAACGGTCGTATTTAGGAACCGTATGGGCGTAGGCTGAACCTTTAACCATATACATTATCTCCTTTGCGTGGAAATCCTTCACTATATTACCTTGGAGGTGATAGTAACATATTCCTCTTGATGCCCAGGGCATAACGATTCCAATAGCTCTAGCTATGGCAGCGGCACGGTCAGAGACTATCGCCATTGGCGGAAGTTGCCTGAAACAATCTCTAAGTTTGTTGAAAAACCATTCCCATGATTCATTATCCTCACCATGGACCATTGCGAAAGCTAGCGGGAATATTTGAAAGTTGGCGTCTTGTCCGGCAGCCACGAGTAGAGCTCCTCCGTATTTCCCAGTAAGATGAGTCCCATCAACCACAATCACTCTCCTCAAATACTGAAAACCAGCTATAGAACCTGCGAGTGATAGAAAGCAGTACTTAAAACGGTCCTGTGAGTCACAGACAAGGTCAGTCACAGTTCCCGGATCTGCTTCCTTGATTCTTTGTAAGTAAGAAGGCAGATTAGCGTATCCTTCTTCTGCTGTTCCCCACACCAAGTCTTGGGCATGTTTCAAAGCTTTATATGAAGCCGTATAGTCGAGCTTCATTCCAAACATCCTCCTCATAGAGTCTCTTATGTGTTGCGGCACAATGCCTTCAATGTGCCCTGTCCGATCAAGAAAAAGCTTTCCAATGTACTTCGTTGTACAACGTTTATGCTTACGTACTCGATCAGAAACAGAAAATGTATGCGACTTCACGTACTTTGTCACCCAAAACGTGGAGGGTTCGTTCTTTACGGCCGCTCTAAGCCTCCATGCGCATCCAGCGACTTTGCATTTGGCCACAAACACTTTTCTTGTAGATGCAGCTATCCTGAATGAGAATCTTGTCATCACCGCGGTCAAACGCAACTCAGAGATAAGTTGGTCCTTGGTATCAAAGCTCTGGTGCTCGTAAATATTGTCTTCCCAATTATCAATTCCTATACGATGACCCACACCACGCCCTAAAAGGCGGGGATCATCGAAAGGAACTTCAATGGCAACCTCTTCATCTTTAATTTTCCCATACTGACTGTAGTCCGCGTGTGTGTCATCATCGACTTCATAAGCTTTTTCCCTTACATCATCCTCATCACAACCCGACTCTTCAGACATTTCTTCTCGTTCTGCGGTCCAATCTTCTTCCAACTCTTCATCGAACTCTTCCTTCAACTC